TGCTTGGATAAATGCATTGCCATGTGCTCTTAGGTTGTTTCTCCTCTTCCTGTCCATGCTCTGAAGTCACCTTGCTTAAGGGAGTCTTCACACAGATATAGTATCATTTACTCAACACAATTACTGCCAATATCTCTGCACACTGCAGAGATATACTGTGGGTCCCTTCCTAGTGCACCTGTATGTGCCTTGTCTTTTAATAGCGATCACCTTGTTATTCAAATTACTAGCATTCAGTTCTCCTTTTATTCTGTCCAAGCAATTCTTTGATTCCCTTAACAAGCTGTTATGCCCCAGTTTCAATGATTACATTATGCTGTAGATTGTAATAAACAAAGCTAAAAAAACACTGCACAGAATCAAGAATAATAAGAGAAAAAATAGCATGCCAATTGTCAAAATAATCTCATGCCCTCAATTCTATGGTCACTTCCAGAGAATAGTCATACTGGCAACTGCAAATAAATGTCAAGGCCTAACTCACTCCTGTTGCTGTTGCTATGATAAGTTTGCTGAATGATTTTAACAAAATCTTGTCCTGGCAGAGCAGCACAAGAAGCATTTAGGGTCATATTATAATACAACAAACATAAAATGTATAAAAATATTTTACTCTGCTAAAGAAGTTTTCTTTCAAGCTAATATTTGCTGCTTATATAGGAAATTATGGTTTACTGTGAACTGCAATCTTAACATTAATTAAAAATCTAGCATTGCCCTTGAATTACTCCACTCTTTACTGCTTCACATAATGATAAAACATGTAACTTATACTACATGCAACCCATTTAACATTACAAGTAAATCACTTAATCTGCAAAATTGCACAAGTTCTGAAGAGTTTTTTTTTTCATCTGTGGATTGCAAATGAGTATTAATAATAATTTTCTATCCCCCACAAGTTGGAACAGATAAACAGGCTACATCTTAATAGTAATTATTAACTATGTTCCTTGACACAAATTAATAACAGAAGAGCCAAAGAGAGAATAAAAAGGTTATTATTCAAGGTAAAACACAGAAGTAACAAAGCTGATAATCTTACCTACTGTAACTCTACATTTTCTCACCTTAAATGTCACTAAATTAATGAAATAGGTCAGCTGAGCCATTGTGTATTACACACCTTCACACTTATCCCATCATGGCACCACTCTGTTGGAAATTAATTATGGGCTGCTACTACTGACAACATCCCCAGTGGTTGTAACTCTTAAAGTGTTTAAAAAGACCTGGCAAAGATTTTTTTAAAGGGTTAGTACAAAAAAATGCTCTACAAACCATGCACTTTGTGGTCTTTACTGGAAGGAGAGGTATACAAAACAAAATTTAGGAAAAAACAAAAGAAAAACAGAGAGTGTTCACTCCCTGCTAATCTTAGCAGGCTGACTCCACCCCTCCTTTCTGTGAGCTTCCTGTCAAACCTCCAGGTCAGTCAGTTTACCTTTATGCACCTCCCTGCAGCTGAATGAACAGGTACAGTATCTGTGATTGTGGATATACTATACACTGAAAGCTGAAGAAGGAGTCTGCCAATTTTAAAGGACTAAAGAGCCCTTTCCAAGGGGCTAAATACTTTTTTGGAGGTTCTGACTGGATTTACTAATGCACGACTTTGTTAATTTCTTTACTGACACCAGTGGCTATGTAGCAGCTGCCCGCAAGTACAATTTTAATCCCAAGCAACATACAAAATAACTGGTAAGCATTATTAGTAGCATGCAGAGATGTGGTGGTAGATCATAAGATTAGTCATTCAATCATTGACATTACAGTGGGGCCTCAAAATAATGTTCAGTAGCTTCTTTGCAGCTTTACCTTGAAAGCTGTATGATGCATCAGTGATGCAAGAACAGCTGTGGCCTGTTATGTCCATTTTTCCATCTGTCAGTATACATCTGCAGCAATCCTATTGATGCATTAGTTGAGCAGAATAAGTTTCAGTGTGCTGTGTATTATACTAGTATGAAATTCTTGAGAATTTTTTATCAGTGATCTTTAAACACAGCCCATAGACTCTGTCCAGCTCTTTGACCCTTTTGCATTAGTCTCACAGCCAGAGCTCTTGATAGAACACATTTTGCTCAGCTCTTTGTGGCAACACTCACCTTTTCAAACATTCTGTGTGTCCCTGTGTTTGCAGCTAAACTGCCTATACAGCTTGGCTACAAGATTGGCTACTTTTATTTATTTATTTATTCAGATTGATTTGTTTATGTGCTTTTGGATCTCATTGAAAAAAATCAGAGACATTTGTTCTGAACACTGAAGTTTAGTATTTAAATTAGTAATCTCCTGCATTAAAGTTGTCAGGCAGGTATAGGTGACACCTTGACTTTTCCTGGGAAGCCCCTTTTCTGTTATATAACTCGGTCACTTGTGCACTGGTGGTGCTAATTTTATCCTCTTTAAAAGGCTTAGGTCCCATTAATGCTAGAGCAGAGTGTATCAGGCAGGCATGATTTACTTGACAGTTGTCCTCACCTTATGTCTTCGTTGTTCCCTTTCATGTCCTGTACAGAAGGCAATCCAAATATTGAATGTTTTATTAGATTTTGATACATTATGTTTCGAAACTACACATAAATAAAATAAAAATTTGTCTCCCACTGTTAGCTGAAGGGAAATTTGGTGGAAATATTTCTGATAATCCAGAACATTTTGCTGAGAAAAGCTTTTCTGTGGCGTTTGCTGCAAGCATTAATATTCCACGTGTTCAAGTCATGAAGGTCAAGAGCATACAAATGACACTGGCCTTCACCATTACATAACAGTGCACTCTGTGCTCCTCAGAGGATTTAAAGGCTGCACAGGGGACAGCTGATTGTTAAGTCAAAGAGGCTTTATGGGAGATGACAACAAACGTGAGATACTTGTTGCTTTAGTGATATGATGAAGCAGTAAGACAAAAAAGTTCATAGCAAAATGGATGAGATGTTGATCTGAAATTAACATCTAGTGTGCATAAGCAACATTTTCATAACATTTTTAGTATGTTAAAACTGAAAAAATAATGTGCAAACACGCATTTGTGTATATACTTGGTAAATGGACTGTATTTTATTCAGTCACGTGTGGTGAGGTTGACAGCTGGTGAGGCACTGACTCTTTTACAGTCAGATTTACAAATACAAATGAACTGTTAATAAACTGTTAACTGACAGTGCATTATGTTTTATATCTCATATCAGTATTCTTCACACAAACGTGACCCATATTTAATTTGAGGTTAAAATTTATTCCAGTTGAGCTTATTTCTAACTAGAAATAATAAAAGTTTATGGTCTTACCTTTACTTGTACACGAAA